TTACCTCCCAGTAAAATTGAGTAATATGGGAGACCCTGTACAAGAATTAAACTACTCCCTTTACCCCCCAGTAAAATTGGGTAATATGGGAGACCCTGTACAAGAATTAAACTACTCCCTTTACCCCCACCCTTTCTTCGTATACGCACAATTCTCTTCGTGTAATGCTGTGAGATCCCACAACTGTATATTCATAAAGCACCATACAGAGGAAATAACATCGAAACCTTAAAAACCTTGAGTGGAAATTTTTCTTTCAAATCTTGGAGCTTTAAGGTATAATTATCAGAGTTAGTATTGTGCTATGTCAGTACAGTGGAAACCGCATTAATTCTTAACGAAAGAAGTCTGGTTAATGGAATGACTGGGAGATTATGAAAATTTTGTGTAGAATAAGTCAGTCCCTTAAAACACTGATTGGGGTATAACTGGTTAGCTGGGAATTGAAGACCGAGACAAGACTCCATTTACGCAATAAAGTTATACATTATGTATATTTTTATGCATATATTTAGTCTAGTCAAGGATAACAGGATTACATAAAGTTGTGATTATATGGACGAGGTACGGATGTATTTAAGTAATAAAAATTATACATTGTTATGCACATATTTGGCCAAAAAATATTGCCAAGAACGTACCTTTTCCGTCTACTCCATCAGTCGACCCATTTGACCCGACGCCATTTTGAAGATCTTCTAATCGCTCGATCTCGTGCAACCGTTCGCTCACGAGACGATGGCGCTGTTTCTGTAATTGCACTTTAGCGGGATGCTTCCGGTCAACAACTTCCTGTGGGTCAGGTCTCCCGTAGCTTAGAGCGTTCCCCATCTAAAACATAACAACACAGTTTCAAAGCGTTATTTTGGTGGAGCACAGTTCTGTGGTGTTTTTTTAATATTAATTTATAGTTGAGTTCCGCTTTAGAACCACTCTCAACCAAGACCAATAAATCACATGGTGCAAAAAAAGCAATTAATTTTTTTTTTTTAAATGCAAAAATACAAATGAAAAAAAATATCGCGGGTGATTTTTTTTGTGTCTGAATTTATTTAACTCGAGTCTTAAGCTATCTCCAATTCTTCAATGCTCTCAAATCTCGGTATAACGGGTTCCATCATTCAGCAAATTACACTAGCAGGTTTTTTGGGGTGAAAAGGCCGGCTGTGTCCCATATTACGTCGTTAGAGGCGACTAATGAGGGCGCCCTGCAGAAACAACGTTTTCTTTTGTATTGTCTGCTTAAGGGATGCAGAGGAAATCGAAACTGATCTGCTGTCCTTTTGCAAAAAATTGTGTGTATATTTATTACTTTCTCGCTTCTCTACCCTTTTTGCGGCGGTGTCCCTTGAAGCCGGTTTCATTTGACCCTAGTCGTTGAGAGAATGTTAAAATCCCAACCAATCAAGCATAGAGTAACAAATAGAGTTAATTCGATGTAACAGTTTTATTTTGTTCTGTTTCGATTATAAAATATGGAATCAGGGAATCTGATATTACAACTTTTCTGGAAAGCTCCTCATTTGGGTTACATTCGCGTATCCCCGTTGAAACGGTTCAGGTGGCGCAGAAATAGTTCACGATAAACGAACGCAGTTGGACCGAACTAAAACATGCACAGTTTTGGAGAATATAAAACAACATATCAAGAATAATATGTCCTTCTTACACACACGTCCTCTAAATAATAGAACGTGTCTTAAAATGTGCATGTGTCTTGGTCTTGTTTGATAAAGAAATAACGCAAACTAGCAATAATCAACCTCTTAGTTTCGGTCAGACACGTCAGTATTCCTGAGGTCAGCCTCGTTTCAGATCCGCGCTGTCGATCGGTTTTTTGGGGGGTTCAACCGATTCAACTGGTTCAACGGTATACGTGAAAGGGGGCCTTGTTTGGCAGACCGAGCAGTGGTGACCTTGGACTTTGTAACTCTCCTTTCTGGCAGACAGATTCAGGTGTAACAGACACTTATCAACACTTACAAAGTACATGTTTTTGTCCGATTGCATATACAACATGACAGTCAGTTTTTGCAAAAAGTCCCAAAGTTGCTGTTATGGAGCCGTTTTTTATTCATAAAATTTGCATTCACCTTCCAAACAATTAGTTTTTGCGACATTTTGACGAGATCTAGAGAAAATATGCCAAAAATGTAAATCGGAAATCACCAGACTAGCATGGTTTTGACACATCCTGGGCCGTTTTCGTTTATTTCGATCCAAACGGTTGAACTCTCGTGTTAGACCAGACCAGACCAGTTAGACCAGAGTTATTAGTTTACGAAATAAGGTCGGACCCAGTAATCTGATGCTACTTTAAAGCGGGCCTTGACCAAGCCTTGCAAGGCCTGGACAAACTTGTGTAGGTCCGCTAGTATTTAAACCCGAAAATGTTAATTTAAAACCAAACAAGCCACTGATGTGTAGTAGTATTTTTGGACCCATCCTGTTGTGTAGGGGTGCTTCACTCGATAACATGTCCCGTGTTCACTTAACGTGAAAACATCTCTCGGCAGAGCGGGAGTTATTTAATGGCAATTTGTTCCGACAGAGTGGATTCACTGGTGGGTGAAATTTGTGTTTTGGTTCAGAGAGAGCGTACCACTGCACCAAATCGAGTGGGNAGGGCGGGGGACGAGCTTGGGATAGGCGGGGATTCCAAACCGGAGGCGTTACGTACATTCCGAGAGGGAAAACCCGTAGTAGGAGTAAGGTCTTCTTATCAATGCTTAAAAGAATTTATAGAGACTATAATACCACAGGAATCTGCAGCTATTCTGTAACTATGAAAGAGTGTTACCTCGCCCTACTGTGATCGTACTCAAACCACGATTCTATGAACAAGCCAAGTTCTTATTCCGGTGATAATATTTTTTTTTCAAACTCATTTTGTTCATGTATTGGAAGAGTTATAGAGACTGAAAGCCGAATACTGTTTACAATTCGGTTTTTTCGGCCAATTTAAATGTTTAAATCAGTAACAAGAGAGTGGGTTTAACACAGAAACAATGATAAGCACGAACACTGTTTCGTGAATACGGACCCAGGTATTACACGTCAAGCTGATCATTTAATTTGCTTAAGACTTAATTATTAATAATGCAAATGGCCACATTGTCGCCTGGTAATAATTTTTAGAAACAAAAATAGGCCGGAAGTTGTCAGGCCAGCTGGTGACGTACGAACTGTGGAACGGAAGTTGGGTTTCTAAGGTCTCTGTCAACATTACACAATGAATGATAGAGTACTGTGTTACTTTCAGCAGACATGAAAAAGGGTTTGTTCGGGAAGACTATTGATGTACAAAATGTACTGATAGAATTCTGGTAAGGCATTATATCAGTATCGAACAAAATCAAGCATCAGCTCAGCATAAAAATGGAATCCGTCATCCGGTTTACCCGTTACTGCTTACATACACGAGAGTCAATAACGACCCTGTAATACATTTGATTACAATTACGCCCATGACATTTTAAATTGTAGAATAGATACATGTATATAAATCAACACATGTAATAAAGATCAAATATTTATCAACCATCCCCTGTCTCACAATTTTCGCATCTGCTCGGAACGATGAGACAGGACAGGATCAAACGTACAAATGAAATTAATAGGAAAGTTTTAGCAAGTGAGTTACAGGTGATTTGGGACCTAGAACCAGTTGGTAATACCGGCCTTCAGAGCTGAGAAATCAGCAAGGCAATCGAAAACACCTAGGAAAATTAACAATACCGATGGAAATCGACAATACCAAGGAAAATCGACAATACCGTAGGAAATTAACAATACCGATGGAAATCGACAATACCGATGAAAATCGACAATACCGAGGGAAATTAACAATACCGAGGAAAATCGACAATACCGAGGGAAATTAACAGTACCGAGGAAAATCGACAATACCGAGGGAAATTAACAATACCGAGGAAAATCGACAATACCGAGGGGAAATCGACAATACCGAGGGAAATTAACAATACCGAGGAAAATGGACAATACCGAGTAAAATTAACAATACCGAGGGGAATTAAAAATACCAAGGGAAATCGACAATACCGAGGGAAATTAACAATACCGAGGGAAATTAACAATACCGAGGAAAATCGACAATACCGAGGAAAATCGACAATACCGAGTAAAATTAACAATACCGAGGGAAATTAACAATACCGAGGGAAATTAACAATACCGAGGAAAATCGACAATACCGAGGGGAAATAAACAATACATTGGGAAATCGACGACACCGAGGAAAATCGCCATGGCCAATGACAATAAGCAACACCGATGAAAAACGATATGGGACCGGGTGGGGCAATGAATAGCGTATCGGGTCTCCTACCCGACTGCGAGGGTTTTCTCCGTATTCTGGTTTCCTCTCGCATAAATACTCCTGTTCGCTATCATCCAGGACAACGAAACTAATAATACAATATAAATTGACAAAACGTATTTCATAGTTGTTGTAATAAATATAAAATCACAACACGAATGCCGAGCTAAGTTCAGGTGTCGCGTGATCGTGTTGAGATGTGGGTTTTTAATGCCCATTGATACGACTCAAATACATGACTTGAAGCAAACGTTCGCTTTGTGATGGTATACCACTACACACAGCTGTGATTCCTGGTCAGCTGACAAAGTGGATATATCGTCACATTACAGTGATTCCTGGTCACCTGACAAAGTGGATATATCGTCACATTACAGTGATTCTCAGCAAATACAATGATTTTGTCATTTGACAAACTAACCCGGCAAAAAGATGAGATTGTTATCTTTCAGGGTGCATTGTTTGTACTCACAAGTAACATTCAGCCTCACTAGCTAGCGTTTCTAGTAATGGGTATACGTGTAATATATATATATATAAATATATATACCCTTGGATTCGCCGATTAGTTCAACGTTACCGAGCGTGGTCAGTGGCCGGATGGGTGCCCTTAGCTTCCGCACATAACAAATATGATACCAGTTCAAAATTGTCGTCAATCCATCTCTCCCGTCCAACAACAGTTATTCTAAAACTGAACTGTCATACTTTATTTAAAGCTGAAAGTGCAAATCAAAACCTTTCAACTAAGATTTTAAAATAAATTACCAACCAAAAAAACAACATCTTACTTCGCATAGCACATACGAACACAGGATGTAGATAAAATGGTGAAAAACTACGTAGTTACCCCCAAAAAACTCTATACCTGCGCACACGACACAGGTTTCGGTAAGTAAGGTATGGTAATTACCGTAGATTCGTTTTGCCCCATACTTGGTGTGTCAGTTGATCCGGGGTTACAGCTCTGTAAAAGCTCACTGAGCCGTATAAACTGTCCCAGTGAAGATCAGCTGATGATATACCAGAGACTTCAGTCCCATATCAGTCGATGTTACGGAAACTGTGCTTCAGGCCTCACTTAAAACGTGTAGTATAATCCTTGTATAGTTACTGCGTTACAACAATATGTTCGTTAATGGCGAACACGTCTTGGTGCACGTGCAGCCAATACAGGTTCTAACGTACAGGTATTGCTGATGATGCCGAGATCAAGTTGTGCCAACTGTCCGGTCGATACAAGCTATCACTTGTTACACTAGCTCCCTATGGACCTCCTTACTAATTATTTTGTCTTTAACTCTCCTTGCATCATGTGTCCAGTCCCTGTTACAATCGTCCGAGTGGACAATGGTATGGTCAATGTTCCGCACGGCCCCTTACAGAACGGAACGACGTTCTCGATCAAGAATTAATGAAGTTCCTTGACGTGTTACGCTTCCTGGTGACATCTGGTTACTTAAAATATATTACCGTGTAAACTAGAATAATCGATTGCTTAATTAAGTTTTCCTGATGATTTCCGATAATGAATCGTCGGATGTCAAAGCCGTATACACTCAAGAGCAACATATGTATAGAGATGTACGTTTATAGAGGTCACACGGCCGTCTGGGGTGAGTAAAGAAATTACAGAACACAAAAATACGGTATGCTGTTTAAAATAGAAGTTTTCCTTTTAACAAATATAAATAAACGACATTCATACGTTGGCGTTAAGTTTCATGACTATCTTATCTTGGTCAATTATCCTGGTTCCCGATTGCATATAAGAAAAATGATGACGGTGCCCTATTTTGCGTATACATTGTAAACACATCGTAACATTGTTGCTTAATGTGGACAAAATTCAGGCCCAAGTGTTGTTGTTGTTGTTGTTGTTTGGTGTGCACATAATCCAGGCCCCTGTGTTGTTCTTGTTGTTGTTTGGTGTTCACATAATCCAGGCCCCTGTGTTGTTGTTGTTGTTGTTTGGTGTGCACATAATCCAGGCACCTGTGTTGTTGTTGTTTGGTGTGCACATTATACAGGCCCCTGTGTTGTTGTTGTTGTTGTTTGGTGTGCACATAAAATTTTACATAAATGGATTGTAACATTCACTTGTATGTACATGTATATTGTAACTCCTATATGCTATCTGTTGCATTTGGAAATAAAGAAATTGAAATTGAAATCCAGGCCCCTGTGTCGTTGTTGTTGTTGTTGTTGTTTGGTGTGCACATAATCCAGGCCCATGTGTCACGTTTTTCAAAATGTACATGATTTGTCGACTAGTTTTTAATCAGTCAAGTACTAATACTGATAATTTGTTTGAATTTTTTTAAAACCAAAATTCAAGTTATTTTTTTAAGTTCCAGACAATCTTATACATGAGGAACTGTCTGAGGATGGAATGCATCAGCTACGTTTTCCAAAATTCAAGCTGAAAAATATGTTTTCTCAACAATATTAACGGTCGCTGATTTGCGTCATTTCGTTGTTTCGTCTTTTCGGGGCGAAAAACGGAATAACGAAAATTCAGGTTTCTTAGTTCTCGAAACAACGAAAAGACGAGATTTTTAAAAACGAAAGAAGATTTATACGTGTCCTTTTCGCCTGTCATAGAAAAAACGAACGAACGAGATCTAAGCAAATGAACAAATCTCGTCTTTTCGAGGCGAAAAAACCCGAAACGAGATGGCACAAATGTGCCACCGTAAATAATACCCCGTGACATGGGAATATAAGTTATCCCGATGTGCAACAGAACTATCATTGCATATGATATAAATGGGGATTTAAATACAACATTGTCGTAACATGTAAATTTACCAGGGGGTTTACATACGCTAGTCCTTATTAAAAGCAATTTACATTCAAAGTTCATGGAATATACCCTTGAATAGCGCCTTCACGTAATCAATGGCAACAAAGACCATGTCTGTATCTCCATGTCTTTAAAAAGGGTACGAGTTGACTCATCTTTAGTAGGACAATTGGCTAAATGTTTGAGCCCTTGGATCACCTATCAATAATCAGTGGCGGATCCAAAGGGGTTTTAGGGGCTTCAGGACCCCCCTCCCACCCTGAGAATTTTCTTTAAAAATCATGTTTTTTCACCATTTTACACATTTTCCAACATGGAACCCCACCCCCACCCCCCTGGAAATTTGGAAAACCCCCAGGTATGTTTCTGGATCCGCCACTGATAATAATAATACAGCGTTCCGCCGAACTGCTACGTGTTTGGCTGACTGTCGAGTCAGTATGACGATTAAACAACTCTTTGTGAAGGTAAAACGGTTCTGAAAAACGAGTTACAATTTAAACAAGCCATTCGGATTGATATGTCTCGCCTGTGCTCTGCTTTGACCATCAATGCACATGTATACGTTTGGTTGTTGTAGCACTTACAGTGTCAGAGAAACTAACTTAAACGCAAAAACTTAATGTTGATGGAGATGCTGACAAAGTCAATGGACCATGAAAGGTAGGCTGCATACAGCATTTGATGCATGGATTGAGATGTACATATTAAGATGTAGCACTTATACTTTCACTGAAACTAAGCTAAACGTAAAAACTTAATGTTGACGCAGCCGCCGGAAAAGCAACACCTTAGTCTTGCTTCCGCTACTCCATGGCGGCGAGACAAAACATGATAGTTAAGACTTATTTGACTTAAGATTAAGACTTATTTGACTTAAGATTAAGACTTTTTTTGACTTGCGATATGTACAAGTATCATTATCATAATTTATACAGTGTGAACGTCGGCATCAACACAATACGGTAATACTGCAGTGCCACGTAGAAAACACGGACAGACAATAGATCACAGGTAAAATAGATTGTGAACAAATGCCGTATGTTGTTATCAATTAATATTTACAATTGCAACTGTTTCGGAATCGATAACCTAAGTGTGAACAAGTCTGTTTATTTCTCAATAACTAGAGTGTAGAACGTGACCCAGTTCACCACGTATGAATATATTAAAATTTTGGCGGACTTCTTTCCGCAAACCTCATGTCAATGTTTACAAACAAACGCTAGCATTTAGACTACCGTGCGTTCTAGACACCAAATGATGTCGGGTTCGAGACAAGACAGATCATCTTCATGACCGGTCATAAAAATGAAGCTAGTGTCAGAAGCTACAGTCGCGATTGTTTGTCGATACAAATGAAAAACGCTCCAATGCCAGAGGTTTCTTTATTTTTCTCTCTCTAACGATGTTATTAGGCTAGGCGTACAGATTAAACAACAACACTTATTCCTATTACGATATATTTAGGCTACATTTTATATATTTGCCTATAGCAGTTGTTTTTCTTGTTTTTCTACAGACATATAGCAACCCAAACAACATCGCCCTTGTTTTGATCTTCATCTTACTTTTGTCAGGGGACATACACACAAATCCAGGACCAGCAGACAGTTTTTCTTCATCTAACGACTCCGACAATATATCCTTTTCTGTTTCTGACGATAACTCACTAAAAATCATGCATTTTAATATTCGTAGCGTAAGAAATAAAATTGTTTTTCTTGAGGGTTTTACCGATGACGTAGACATATTGTGCCTAACAGAAACACATCTCGATCCTTCTATCCCTGATTCTGACCTTCTTCCTCCTAACTCCTCAACAATATTTAGAAAAGACAGGAACGCTTTTGGTGGCGGTGTTATGATTTTTGCAACTAAAGACATACTGCTTAAACGCAGACTTGATATTGAATCACCGAATGACGAAATAATTTTGATTGAATTTTGTACTGATAATAAGAAATATCTTCTATGTGTACTATACAAACCTCCATGGCAAAATACTAACTCTGGAATTTTGACTCGACTGAAACATTCTTTTGACATAGCTTTTGACTACACTCCTCATGTTATATTAACAGGGGATACTAACATTGACTTATTAACAGGAAATAACAATGATCTTTGCATTCTTACACAGCAATATAATCTAACTAACCTGATTACCAGCCCAACTCTAGTAATCAATACTACACAATCCCTTATAGACCCATTTTACATCAGTGATACTATATCCTCCGAATCATCCATTGTTGTACCAGTTTTAGAAGCTTTAAGTGACCACAGAGCTGTAATTGTGTCATTGTCATCCTGTCTACCAAAACTAAAGTCTTTTAAGAGGAAAATATGGTTACACAACAGAGCAGATATTTTAAATCTTAAAACAGAGGTAAGACAGGTAAATTGGATAGATTTGTTTTCTCATGCGGATAATGTAAGCGAAACATGTAAACTGTTCACTGACAAAATAATTTCTATTTTAGAAAAACATATTCCTAAAAAAATTGTAACTATAAATAAAAACGACAAACCATGGATTAACGGAGATATAAGAAAAGAAATTAAACGTAGAAACAGGTTAAGGAAACATTTTATCAGAGTTAAAACCCCATTGTCTGAAGCTAAATTTAAACGTGCACGAAACAAAGTAAATAATATGCTTAAACATGCAAGAGCACTTTTTTATACAAATGTAGATGGACTTATCAATGATAGTTCAGCTAATCCCAAAGCATACGGGAAACTAATGCGTATGCTTTTAAAATGTAACATTTCTACCGATATACCTCCCTTACTAAACCCTACAAATAACCGCTTAACCACAGACGACTATGACAAATCCAATATTCTAAATAACTTCTTTAAATCTGTTTCTGACCTTGATGACCATAACGACGATACACCCTATTTTGACAACCAAACAGACGCGTCCCTTACTGAAATTGTAATAACAGAACAAGAGGTTTTAGATATAATCAATATTTTAGACACTAATAAAGCTGCTGGTCCTGACGGCATCAGTCATAAAATGTTAAAAATGGTATCCAATGAAATATCTGCACCCCTCACACTTCTATTCAACGAATCCTTTCGTACTTCTGTATTTCCTGATTCATGGAAACTTGCCCATGTGACACCTATTTTCAAAAAGGGGGAATCTGAATTGGCAAATAACTACA